AAACCCTAAACCCTAAACCCAGGCGGGAGGCCGATGCCAGAAGCCCCAGGCGTGAACAATAGGAATAGACTCGAATCGAAAAGAATATAATGAGTTATACTAGATTATAATTTTAATAACATAATATACTAGACTGTTTTTAGTAACATAGTATAAGATAAACAAGATACTATAATGGAAAGGAGGGTTGAGGGGGTCTCCTTCGGCAAGTTGAGGACTCCTCGATGCACAGATCAACTTGCTCGGCAGCTCGCGCATCGGCTTCGAGCAAATGAACGAAGAAGAAAGCATGTGGAAACATTTCACGTCGTGGAAGGAGGCGGAGTTCGACTTGAAGTCCGAGCAATTGGGGGACAGCGTGAACGAGGGAGTGGCAGATTTTGGTGACCGAACGCCTCTGCTTGATCAAGTGCTCGATCCCTTGAAACCTTCGCCGGCGTGCCTCGGTCACTGTGGGAGTGATTTTGCGTGCTTCCTAAGCCACAACCCTGACAGCGATCCTTCCGCTTTCCACACCGAAAACTCCAGGACGCTCCAGAAGGTTTCCAACCTGCTCTCTTTGCTGAGATGCACAGCGCTGATGCGCTTTCCGGCCAGATCAGAAGACTTTAATCACAGGACCTACATTCCGGCCTCCACCAAGAGACCTCAACGCGGTTTCTAGGAGATTCCTCTTCCTGACACCCACACCTATAGTCACCGTGAAGCTCTTTGCGCTAAACTCCGGATGCACTCTCACCTCCCAGCTGATCACATTTAGGGTTTACGGTTTAGGGTTTAGGGGTTTAGGGGTTTAGGGTTTCGGGGTTGGGGTTTGGGGTTTAGGGTCATCTAGATGTCCCCGCCAGGACTGGAATCATGAGCAAATGCTGGAGCGGAGATCGCGCGCCCTTCCCACCGGAGCCTAAGCCGTCTGAGGGTTTTTCGATTTTGGGGGTTTGCGGATTTAGGGGGTGACGAGCCCACTCGCCGAAAGTTAGTCAGCAGAGACAGCCAAGCCCTAAACCTTGAGGATGCATAGGACCCATATTGTATACTGTTTAGGGTTTGGGGGGTTTGGCGTTTATATTTTGCCTTAAAGGGTTCAGGGTTCTGTAGGGCTCAGTGCTCAGGATCTATCAGTTAGTACCACTAGAATGCCCCATTACAATCGTTCCGGGAGAGCCAAGATTATTCAGCTGAAGCCTTAAGCCCGAAGCCCAAACCCGTCTAAACTCTTCTAAACCCTGAACCCCAAACCCTAAGCCCTAAACCCTAAACCCAAAAACCCTAAACCCTAAAACCCTAAACCCTAAACCCTAAACCCTAAAACCCTAAACCCCAAACCCTAAGCGCTAATATTATTCAGCTTCTTGTCGGCTTCGGGATCCCCAGCCTTGGCGGGATGTGTTCTGGTCCTCGTTGTCTTGGAGAGTTTAGGGCTTTAGGGTTTAGGGTTCCTTTAGAGGAACTATAAGGGTTCCTATAAAGGGATTTCTAAGGGGTACTACAGGGGTTTAGGGTTTAGGGTTTAGGAGCTTCAAGCCAGGTTAACATGAGAAATCTCGGCCCTTGATTCAACCTGATTCTCCCAGTGAAGGTATTAAGGGCAGGTCCTGGCTTTGCTTAGATCGGTTTGGGGCTTGGGCGTACTTGAGGATGGTTGGTACAGTCTGACTTGCAGTTGGCAGTGTTGTTCGAAGTCGGTATTTTGAGTTCTAACAAAGCCGCAAGCCCTAAACCCTAAGCCCTAAACCCTAAACCCCCCTACTAATAATACACCCGGCCACCGGCCTCTCAAGGACGCTGATGCCTAAACCACGAAAACCCCAATCAGCTTGAGGACTTGCAAAAGATGAATCTTGATGGCGTGGCAAGTAAGCGGACGAAGGCGGGGGTAGGAGCGACACCTTGAAGGAAAACCCCAAACCTTCAACCCTAAGTCCTCAAACAAGAGAGGGACCGATGTCAGAGGCTTTCCGTGGATGGACGACGAACCTTGTGATATCACTTCGAAGCTGACAGTGTCAAGTTCCCAAGCCTTAAAAAATTGGAACATCCTTCTCGACACCCACTGATGTGGACGCGGTATGAACTCGATGAAAGCCGTAGAAATCATCTAGTGACGAACATTTGCACAAGCCTTAGCAGTGGTGGTGAACCCTGCACTGCAGATGCCTTCTGCACAGGCTATGGAACCCTAATTTCAGTCATGGAAGCCTGCCAATCCCTCTATGGAAAGAAGTAGAAGGGCTACATTTTTGAGGCAATATAGGGGCCTTAGTAAGTAGAATAGGGTGTTGGGGCCCATTTTAAATAGTATCGGTAATGATTAAGGCTCCTACATTAATTCATGTCCGACAGACAGGCAGGAACCCTAAACCCTAAACCCTAAACCCTAAACCCGAAATCCTAAACCCTAAACCTGCAGGATCCTCTGAGCGCACTGAGGCAAGTCGAGCCTGAACGAGCCTGAACAGACCTAGCATCCCTATCCCTTGAGCCGAGAAGCCGAAATCCTGGACCTGCAAGCTGAGTTTAGGGTTTAGGGGTTTAGAGTTTAGGGTTTAGGGGTTTAGGCTTTAGGGTTTGGGTTTAGGGGTTTAGGGTTTAGGGGTTTAGAGTTTAAATAGGGTTTAGGGGTTTACGGTTTA